ATGGCCAACACAAGAGCTTCCCCTCCAGGAAGCTCCAGTTTCAACTACCCAGAAGCTCTCCTGTGCTGTGTTTCTTACAGGTAGGCTTTACATAGCCTGGCTGTCCTGCAGCTACCTCAACTATGTAGACCAGGTTGGCCTAGGACTCAGAAACCGCTCTGAGTGCAGGGATTAACGGCATGTACTGATGCAGCTAACTCATTTTGGGTGTTCACAGAGATGGCATTGCTCTGCACAGGTGGCATTGAAGCTGTGTAATGTGGTTGGACAAAGGCACATTCTAAACAAGGGGGGTTGTAGCAAGAAAATCCAAGAGTTTGAGGCTAGCCTATGCTACTACCTGTGACCCTGTTTCAAAAAATGGAGCTTGTGCAAGTCTCTTAACAGACTGGGTCAGGAAACAGCAGGTTTTCTGCCTCGGTCTCATTTTGGTTAAGTGTTTATATAGCCCAGGCAGACATGGAATAGTGTTGATCCTGCTGCTTCTGCGGGTGTGGCCCTCCCGGCACCATCCCCTTCCCTCCCTCTCCTTGCTTTCTTTTCTTTCTGGTTTGTAGTGGGTCAAACCTAGGGCCTCACAGAAGCCAGACAAATAAATGCTCTACCAGTGTTTTGCTTTTTCCTTTGAAACAAGGTCTCACTATGTAGACCAGGCTGGCCTGGAACTCAGAGATCTCTGCCTCTGCCCCCTACTCCCACTCCCAGTGCTGGGATTAAAGGCATGTGCTACGGGCTGGAAAGATGGCTCAGTGGTTAAGAGCACCGACTGCTCTTCCAGAGGTCCTGAGTTCAATTCCCAGCAACCACATTGTGGCTCACAACCACTGGTAATGAGATCTGGTGCCCTCTTCTGGCCTGCAGACATTCATGCAGGCAGAATACTGTATACATAATAAATAAGTAAATCTTTAAAAAAAAAAAAAAGGTGTGTGCCACTACATCCAGCTGCTCTTAGTGTTTTGTCTTCCCACTCCATATTGAATGTCCTTGGGGCCAGTGCTGAGGTAGCTGGGACATGATTTGAATTTTTAAAATTTTGTTTGGGGTCTGGAGAAATGGCTCAGACTGCTTTTCCAGGACCTGGTTTGATTCCCAGCATCCACGTGATGGCTGACAGCTGTCTGTGACTCTGCCCCAGGAGAGATGCACACCCTCTTTGTCCTCCCCGGTCACCAGGCATACACACACACACACACACACACACACACAATAGACATACATGCAGATAAAACACAACACACACATAGAACTAATTGCCAATTTGTTTAGAAAAGAGACCCAGTTTATTTTAGCAGCACAGTGGCAGCAGTAGCAGGGCAGTGACAGAGGGGCCTGAACATATGACGCCATAGCTAACAACACTTGACGCCCAAGTAGCTGAGGCTGCTGGCCTTGCTCACCACCCCAGCTCTGAGGCTGAAACTTGTTTTAAATTGCCTAGTAGTGTGGGCACCTTTCATCTGTTCTTTCCTTGCGCTTCTTAGAATCTCTAGGAGCATTTTCTATACTCGGGGAACTATCTTCTGTTAACTTCTACCGCTGTGGCTTTCATCTTGTGCCTAAGAAGCCTTTCTCACTCCTGCCCTCCCTGCCCCCATGGTTACCCTCCCTCCCCCCATGGTTACCCTCCTGTTTCCCTAGTACCGGGATCACAGGTGTCTATGCCACATCTCGCCTCTCTCGCACACAGTCTGTGTAGCCCAGGTTGGCCTTGAATTTAACTCTGGTCCTGTTGCTTTGGCCTCTTGAGTGCTGGGATTATAGGAATAGCCACAGCCTGCCAGACAAGCAGGATCTGGATCTAACAGACACAGCGAGTGCTGGTGAACACGCTCTTCTAGCACACGTGGCTTTATAAAATTGAACATGTTAATTAAGCCATGAGGCAGATTTCAAAGGATTCTTCTCACAGCATGTTTTTGTCTATCTGTTGACTTTACAGCTAGAAATGAATAAACTAGAAAGGCTTTTGGAAACAAATACACTTTATTTTTTGGTATTTTGAGACAGGCTCTCACTCTATTGCCCTGGCTGGCCTGGAAAGAGCTCTTCTTACCCCGGTTTCCTGAGTGCCGGGGATTCACAGCATGAGCCACCATGCCAACCTGGTTGCATCTTTTTTTTTTTTCTAACCATTCAAATGAAAAACACTTTTTTTTTTAAAATTTATTTTATGTTGTGTGATATTTTGTTTTCTGACAAATAAAGCTTGCCTGGAGATCAGAGAAGCAGAGCAGCAACCACTAGAGAGCTTCTACCCCTAATAAAATCCTCAAAAGGAAAGGGGGCCGAGATCCCATCTCTACTTTCCTAGTGCTGGGATTAAAGGTTTGAGCCACCACTGCCTGGCCTCTATGGTTAACTAGTGGCTAGCTCCACCCTTTGATCTCTAGGCAAGCTTTATTTGTCAGAACACAAAGTATCACTTAACAATTTTGTCTTTTTTGTTTTCTTAAGTTTTATTTTATGTGCATTCGTGTTTTGCCATGGGTTTCGGTTCCTGTGGAACTGGATTTACAGACAGTTGCCAGCTGCCATGTGGGTGCTGGGAACTGAACCTGAGTCCTCTGGAAGAGTAGTCAGATGCATGCCTATGCCCCTGGAGGTCCGAAAGTGGTTGTCCGACCCTTTGGGACTGAGTTAAGAATAGTTGTGAAACCACCATGTGAGTGCTGAGAAGTAAAATGAGATCCCCTGCAAGAGCACCAAGTGCATTTAATCACTGAGCCATCTCTCCAGCCCCCAGTTCAAAACAAAACAAAACAAAAAAATTTTAAGATTTATTTATTTATTCATTTATTATGTATACATTGTTCTGCCTGCACACCAGAAGAGGGAGCCAGATCTCAGTACAGATGGTTGTGGACTGCCATGTGGTTGCTGGGAATTGAACTCAGGACCTCTGGAAGAACAGCCAGGGCTCTTAACCTCTGAGCTTCCAGCACCCCCCCTTCCCCCCCCCCAAATATTTGGCGTGTATTTATTGTACATACTGATGGGTTTCAGTAGGATAGGTTTTTTCTTTTTGGTTTTTGAGACAGGGTTTCAGGTAGCCAAGACTGGCCTGAATTTGCTGTGCAGCCTAGGATGACCCTGAGTTCCTTGATTCTTAGTCTTCCAACTCCCAAATTCAAGGATTACTGTCTGAGTCACCACCTAGCTCATAAAGATTATAAAAATGTATTTTGTGCTTCCAGTGTACCCCTCTCCTCCTCCCTGCTTGTCTCCCTTCTGCTTTTATGGCAAAATACAAATGGTTTTATGTATCTGCAACCTAGGATCCATAAATGAGGACAAACACAATACATTTGTTTCTCTGTATCTGGCCCATTTAATACTCTGACCTCCAGTTACAACTGTTCTCTAGCAAGCCACCCCTCCTGCCCTCTGTGTGGCTGACGAAAGCTCCGTGGAGCTTGTATGGCACCCTTGTCTGTGGTGGGGTGCTAGGCTCATCTCACTTGGCTGCTGTGAACAGTGCCGCAGTACAGTGGACATTCCTGTATCTCTGTAGAACGCCGATGCTCGGGTCCTTCAGGAGCTGGTCACTGGCTCAGTGGGTAAGGCGCCTGCTGCCAGGACTCAAGACCCAGGTTAGATCCCAGGGGCACACACGAAGAGGACAACCAGCTTTGTAACTTGTGTGCCCTTTAAGCCTGGAGGTGGTGGCACACACCTTTAATCCCAGCAGTCGGGAGGCAGAGGCAGCGGATCTCTGAGTTGGAGGACAGCCAGTGCTGTTACACAGAAAAACTAGGTCTCAAAAAACAAAAAGGGGAGGGGGAAGAACTGGAGATATTAGATTTAGCTTAGCAAATGCTTTTTTTTTTTAACCTACTGAGTCATTGTGCCAAGGTTTTTGTTTTGTTTTGTTTTGTTTTGTTTTCTTTTGCAAGACAGGATTTCTCTGTGTAGCTTTGGAAGCTGTCCTGGACCTCTGTAGACCAGGCTGGCCTCAAACTCACAGAGATCTGCCTACCTTTGTTTTTATATTAAGTGTATATCTGTGTGTGCATGTGAATGCAGTGTGCAAAGCTAGAGTAAAAGTGCCTTGTGCTCCAGTATGGATGCTGGGAACCAAGCTTGGGTCTCTCCGTAAAGCAGTATACATAATCCTGAGCTATCTCTCCAGCACCAAGAATCTTAGGTCTTACATTAAGGTTTTGGTAATTTTAAATTGATTTTAATTTTGTAATTAAATTTTGTAAAAGGTGAGCAATAGAGATCTAGTTTCTACAGATGTGGGCATTCAGGGTTTTCAGCAACATTTGTTGATATTTAAAAAGGATTGCGTTTATTTTATGTATATAAGTGTTTTTGCCTGCTTGTATATACTTTCTTGATACCCATGGAGGCCAGAGGAGAATGTCAGATTCTCCAGAATTGGAGTTACAGATGGTTGTGAACTACCATGGGTACTGGGGATCGAATTTAGGTCTTAGGAACTTAGGATCCAACCTTTGTCAGCTGAGCATCTTGCTGACCTTCAAGGCAACTTTTATATGTATATTCATCTGTTTTTTTTTTTTTTTTTTTCATTTAGTTGAGAAAAAATTTTATTTATCTCTTTTTCGGTGACTACCTGATGTTCTAGTCCATGGGGGCTGGCAGTCCTGCCTGTCTCCCAAGTTCTGATCATAGGTGTGTGCTGCCTTGTCCAAGTTGGAAATGCTTTCCAAATGAATAAATAACAAGATTTCTTCTTAACTTCTTTGCAAATATATTCAGCTAAACCCAGAGAGACTCTTTTGCCTCTTACCCTTTCTCAAAGGGTTGATAGTGATGTTGTAGATTTCGGGTGTGGTGGATCATGACCTTACTGCAGAGGATAGAGCAGTGTTGGCATCTGGTCCCCAGCAGTGGGTTTCTACCTAGATGAGTCCTTCCTGTTAGCAGCAGTCTTGAAGGAGGGGGAGAAGGGTTAGGGACGTGGACGGTATTGGACATATATATGCCAAGGACTGTTTCAGTGTGATCTAACATCTTACTGTTGTTTTCAGGGTTTTGCGGCCTCCCGGTGGCGGGTCCAATTTTTCACTAGGCTTTGATGAGCCATCAGAACAGCCTGTGAGGAAGAACAAGATGGCCTCTAGCATCTTTGGGACACCTGAAGAAAACCCTCCATCTTGGGCGAAGTCAGCAGGTGCTGGTTTGTTCGTCTTGTTTTTGTTTTTTGAGTCAGGTTTCTCTGTGTGTGTAGCCCTGCCTGTCCTGGAACTCGCTCTGTAGACCAGACTGGCCTGGAATTCACAGAGATCCACCTGCTTCTACCCTCTGCCCCTTGAGTCCTGGGATTAAAGGCGTGCACCACCACACCCAGCAGCAGGTACTGGTTTCACAAGGTAAACCCTTTTCAAAGTCACTGATCCAGCTGGATTTGGTACTGACTAGCAAAGGCTGAACCCAAAGAGGCAAAAAGCACAACACTGGCTGGGTGTACATCACATCACACCTGTAATCTTGGTAGACTCTGGCAGGGTGATTGGGATTCTGTGGTAGGTCCCAGGACCCTTGAGAGTCTTCTTGTATATGATGGCTGGAATAAGGGTCAGAGGCAGTGTGGCCCCCAGTAGCCTGCCTTGGAGCATGTCTTCTTAGAGTGTCTGCTTTTGTTCTTCTACTGTATTCTCTTGGTAATGATTAATTTTAAGTGTGTGAGTGTCTGCCTGCGTGTGTGTATGTGAACCATGTGGGTATGCTAGGAAGGAATCTGGGCCAGCCCATGCTCTTCATGGCTGAGCCATCTCTGTCCCTCTGTTAGATTCTGTCTGTGTTGGTTTCTAGGTGCCAAGTCCAGTGGTGGCAGGGAAGGTTCGGAGTCGCCTGGAGCGCAGAGAAGTAACTCTTCCGAAGCAAGCTCCGGAGACTTCTTAGACCTCAAGGTCAGTGTGAGAACAAGGGGGGCTCGGTGGCGGGCCAGCCTGGTCTACAGAGTAAGTTCTCAGACAGATAGAGCTACATAGAGAAACCCTGTCTTGAAAAAAATGTCTCTTTTAATTGCTCAGTCCTCCTTAAGGGAATCACCACCTTGGTGATGAAAATCAAAGTATAAAATCAGACAAAAAGCCAGACAAGTAGGCTGGGGATAGAGGTGAGTGCTGGAATGATTTCCTAGCTTGCCAGAAGCCCTGGACCCCACCCCCTTAGCACTGCCACATGAGACCAAAATTTAGTGGTTCATGCCTATAATCCCAGCACCTGGGTGGTGAAGGCAGCAAGATCAGCTAGACAGGGTTCTAAGCCAGCCTGAGCTACACGAGACCTTCATCCAAACAAAAGTCTAAGGGAGGCCGGGGAGTCAGGTGAGTGAGTTACCTGGCTTGATCCACTTAGATTTCGCTCACCGCTCACCATTAGGTTCGTCTTAGGCCCCTCAGCCTTAACCCTGGGGCCTTCTGAATCCCCGCCCTTCTTTGAGCTTCATCTAGCATCTTGGAGTTGAAGGACTATGTCAGGTGTCTGAACGTCTGCACTGAACTCCAGGAAATGGTAGCACTGAGTCACAGTGGGGTACATCTGCAGATGGAGCTCCCAGTGGGCCCCGTGGGTGTGTGTCTGGGCAGTCTTCCATCTTGGTACCTCAGAGTGCCCCAGAGGTCCACATCTAGGAGTGGAGAGGCTGTTCAGCAGCTGTGGAGTGACTGGGCCCTTCAGCATCGACGTATAGGAGGAAAAAGGGAAGTCTAGGCTCGCCGTTCTCTGTGTGAAAAAAGATTGCGTGCCTGCCTAGGTGTGTGTTTCACTGGCATTGGTTGGGCTGTTGATTATGCAGGACAGTTGCATAGCATTGCCCCAGATTGTATCGAACTTGTTGCTGGATCCTGTACTTACCGAAATGGAATTTCACCTGGGTTAGCTGCTCTGAACTATCACCGTTTTGTGCATTGCAGAATTTAAACAGGAACTAATTTTGAAATTTTCTTTTCCAGGGAGAAGGTGATATGCATGGTGAGTACATCTGAGTGCTGATCCCTGTTCCTGTAATGCTGTTAGAAGGTCTGAATTAGCGTTCAAATCATGTGTCTCAGGGAAAGAGACCTGAGTGTGCTTCAGGGGCGGCACACATACCCTAGAGAGGGAGGGAAGATGGGGTTCTTCAGAGTAGTCAGTGTGGCTGAATTGATTTTACTTATTAAAACATGTATTTCTTTTTTTTTTTTTTTTTTTGGAGCTGAGGACCGAACCCAGGGCCTTGCGCTTGCTAGGCAGGCGCTCTACCACTGAGCTAAATCCCCAACCCCTAAAATAAATATTTCTTTAGCCAGGTGGTGTGGCACACCTTTAATCCCAATGCTCAGGAGGGAGAGGCAGGTGGCTCTTGAGTTTGAGGCCATCCTTATCTATAGTGTGTGTTCTAGAACAGCTAGGGCTACACAGAGAAACCCTGTCATAAAAAAACAAAACAACAACAAAAAAACCCAAAACGACACCAACAAAAAACCCTGGTTCCTTGGAAGAGTAGCAAGTACTCTTAACCATTGGCTGCTCTTCCAGAGGACCTGGGTTTAATTCCCAGCACCCACATAGCAGTTTACAACTGTAACTCCAGTTCCAGGGGATCCAACCTATTCACACAGACATACATGCAGGGAAAACACCAATGCACATAAAAATAAAAAATAAATCACTAAAAAACTAAAACTGGCCAGGTGGTGGTGGTGCATGCCTTTAATCCCAACACTTGGGAGGCAGAGGCAGGCGGATCTCTGTGAGTTTGAGGCCAGTCTGGGCTACCAAGTGAGTTCCAGGAAAGACACAAAACTACACAGAGAAACCCTGTCTTGAAAAACCAAAAAAACAAAAACAAAAAAAACCCTAAAACCAAACCCAAATGTATATTTTAAGTCAAGTAGCACAAGCCTTTAATCCCAGCATTTGGAAGGCAGAGGCAGGAGAATCTGTGCCAGTTCAAGGCTAGCCTGGTCTATATATCAATTTCTAGCACAGCTAGGTCTACATAGAAATCCTGTATTAAAAAAAAAAAAAGGAACAAACAAAAATAAAAAACCCAAACTTTTTTAGAAAACAGGGTCTCACTATATAGCCCTGTGTGGGCTGGAACTCACTTTATAGAACAGACTGGCCTTGAACTTCCAAAACCCTGAGTTCTGGCATTAAAGGCATGTGTCACTCTACCTGGTGAGTATAATTGTGTGTGTGTGTCTGTGTGTCTGTCTGGGCAGCACAGGGGTTGGATTTGGGACCTCCTGGAATCTGGGGTAGCACTGGTCCCCACACTCCTAGGCTTTGCAGTTCAGAACACAGCCACTGTTGGCCCACACTTAACAAAACCTGCCAAAGCCAGCCCCACCCTCACCCAGCACACCACCTTGTGACTTCTAGCAAGCCCTCTACACCGAGCCATGGCCCTAGCCAGCTAATCTGATTTGGGCAAGTGTCATTGAAAATTTGGAAAGCCTGGAGATAAGAGAGCCCTGGAGGTAGAAGCAGTGGGTCCTAGTACCCGCCCTCCCTGCTCCTTCCCTAGCTCAGCTGTATGTCTCCAGGGAAACTGCTCTGAACTCATGTGCAGTCCTGTTGAAATGGTCATGTCCCCTGGGCTCCTGACTGCTGTAACTTTTAGCCCATTTGTCATAAAGTAACAACTAATATGACTTGGTAGATGAAAGGGACAACTCCATTTCTTTCAGTTAGCCTCAAGGGAGGATGTGCTGAACATCTTTACATTAGATAGGCTTTGTTTGGATAGAAGGCAAATTGTCCCGACTTTTCAGGCTTCGGAGATACAAGAATGGTTGGTCCAAGGAGGAATTTGGAGGAATTTGGACCTGCTCTTAGGGGAGGGCTGTGCCTGGTGGCCCTGTAATCTATAGTCCCAGCACACTGGAAAGTGAGCAGGGCAATGAAGACAAGAACTCAAGGCCCAGGCTGGGCTATAGGCTGCAAAAAGAAGTGGGGAGGGGGAAGGGCTGGGCGGTGAGCTTGCTAAGGTGAGCTTGCTAATGAGCTGGATGTGCTGCTTTATGTCTTCAGTCGTTAATACCAGCACTTCGGTAAACACAGGCAGGAGGATCTCCGTGAGTTCTAGACTAGCCAGGGATGTAGAATGAAACCCCGTCTGAAAAAAAGAAAGGGGAAAAGAGGAAGGGGCGGCAGAGACTGGAGGAGAGAGTGAGGCTCACTGTGGGTGATGTTGGCCTTAGCAAGGGGGAGTGAGTGGCCTGGGCTTACAACTCGGTTTGCAAAAGTAAAAATGTGTATGCGGGGGAGAAAGGAAATGACAGCAGCAGTCTTCCTGCCTCCCAAAAGATAGAGGCAGCGTGACCCTCGTGACCCTGAAGCTTACTGTGAATCCTTCTTTTCTCTGCACCACTAGCGCTGTTTTTAGTTATTTTGTTGATGGGCTAAAGCAAGTTAGTATATACAATGTTTATTTTGATGTACAAAGAAAGCCCTGGGTGGATCTTAAGGGTTGCTGTAAAGCAGTCATCTTTAGAATTACTAGCTGAACACTGGCATTTATTGTCCAATTGGTGTGGAGTAATACTCTATGCTACCTTGTAGTTTGCCTGCATGTATAAGAGGGAGGGTCTTGGATCCCCTGGGACTGGAGTAAGAGGTGGTTGTGAGCAGCTGTGCGGGTGCTGGGAACTGAACGGAACGGAACGGAAGAACAGCCAGTGCTTTTAACTGCTGAGCCATCTCTCCAGCTCCCCTGGTTCCTTGTTTTATTTTCATTTATTTACTTATTTTTTGGTTTTTTAAGACAGAGTTTCTCAGTGTAACAGCCCTGCCTGTCCTGGAACTAGTGCTGTAGACTAGGGTGGCCTTGAACTCATGGAGATTAAAGGATTAAAGGCGAGCACCACCATGCCTGTTATTTTATCTTTCTGAAAAGATGTCACCATGTGGCCCTTACTGGCCTTGAATAATCTATGTAGCAAAGTATGACCTTCAACTCCTGATTCTCCTGCCTCCACCACATGGGATTCAAGGCATACAGAAAACAGTAGGTGATACATTAACAGGTTCCATTTCAGGATTAGGACTTCAGTTGACTGTTGATATCTTTTGTATGGTTTTTCCATTTGTTTGAACCATTCTCAAACCCTCTCTTCCTAGAAAATGTGGACACAGACTTCCAAGCCAACCTGGGGCAGATGGAAGAGAAGCCTGTGCCTGCTGCTCCTGTGCCCAGCCCAGTGGCCCCGGCCCCAGCGCCATCCAGGAGAAACCCCCCTGGTGGCAAGTCCAGCCTGGTCTTGGGTTAGCTTCTTCTGTTGGAACTCTGTCCTGTTTGTTTGTTTTTCCATGCTTGTGAACTGCACAACGTGAGCCTGACTGTACATCTTTTGGATTTGTTTCATTAAAAGAGAAGCACTTTATGTATTGCTGTCCTTTTTTCCCCTTCTCCCACTTTCTCTATTGCTTTTTCTTCTTGTCTGACTTCTGGGTCTGTGGGCTATGGCATGAGTGTTTTCTAGTAGTAGACTGGAGTAGTAGACCGTTTTTAAGAACAAATGATCTGGTTCCTGATGTTGTTAGAGACGCTTTTGTACCAGGGTTTTTGATGCTGTACATGGCTTCCTGTGGTGGGACAGACAGCAGCTGTAGTCCTGCAGTCCTGGAGCCCCTGTACCAGTTGTCTGTGATGCACGCTCCTTGGTGTCACCCCACCATCACAGTGTCGTTGGCTAAGTGCACCTTCCTATGCCATGTGGAATGATAAAAGCACCCGCACCTCATACCCTGCGGCCTACGAAAGGAAAGAAGCCAGAGCCGCTGTGACTGGCCAGCTGCTCGGCAGAGCCACCGGGTGCAGAGGAAGGCTTCAGGTGTGTGAGCAAGCTGCCTGGAATTGCAAGGGGAAGCACACAAGGGGGCAGTCCCAAGTGGGCCGGAGGCATCGGTCCCACAGGGACATCCTAATGGAGTAACTCAATGCCAAGTGCATGACGCTGGTGCTTGACCATGAAGACAGTCTCATCCTTGAAACTTGTACTTCTCAGTCCTGGACTGTTGCTTAAAGTAAACAATGCCCACCTTTTGAAGCACTGTGTTTTTGGCTTTTTTTTTTAAGTGTGTTTGTGAGTGCGCTTGAGTGTGTGTGTGTGTGTGTGTGTGTGTGTGTGTGTGTGTGTGTGTGTGTGTGTGTGTG